CTGCCTAGCAGTCATATATATCCCAAAATATTACAATATTATTTAGCTTTTCAGCAGCTTTTTGTAACACATCACTTTCTTAGATATGTAGATAGCTGCAAGTTTGGTTTATTCTGTTTGGATTTTTTTTTTAATAGATGGAGAGATATCAGAAAAATAAAACACCCTAAAGAATCATTCCTTCCTACATCTTGTAGTGTGAACGCAAGTGACTAGGGCAGAGACAAGGATGCAGCTGTTATCATCACACATTCGAGGAAGTTAATAAATTGAAGAATCCAATTGTCCTAAATGGCTAGAGGAAAGAGACACCTGTAACTTCCACAGTAATACATTAATTTCACATTTGAATTCCTAAGTGAACAAAATACAAAGGACATGATTTGTAACTTCTGTAGACTTTGAACTATTGTCATGAAGTCTCATAAAAATAGCATCTTGTTAATGCATTAAAAATCTGCCTCCACCTTGCAGTTTGCCAAATCACACCAGGTTTCCGTTGCTTTTGAACATGGATGAGTTACCATTCCACTATCAGACAAGCCCCGTAGCAAGGATTATTTTTTCATCTCATTATACAAATTCGTAAGAATACCACTGTGGAAAGTTTTCACAGGTATCTTTTGTCATTTTTTATCTACTAATTTAGATAATATCTGACTAATTTTACCGATTTTATTCCTTCTCATTTCCTTAAAACCTTAAGTGGATGCACCATTTTACTAGGGGACCTGCTGTAAAGCCTATTTACTTAGAGCCTCCTTCAATTTATTGGGAAATTCACATGTTGTTTGATATCCTCTGAAGACTCCAGAAGAGTTAAAGCGAGCTTTCGCTGTTCTGGAATTTCACCTTAGCACGCCGAGTTTAAAGCACTCGTTTTCAAGACCGACCATCCCTTAACGACCCAGAAAAGGTCCTCAAGGTGGGGAACTGGAAGCCGAGACGGCTCTTCCAGCGATCCGATGTGGCTACGGCGGAGGCGAGCCTCTGCGGATCGCGATACGCCCCTCACAGATAGCACCGCTTTCCCTTCACCGGGCTGATGCACAGCACAGATTGCATCAGGATTCCTGCCGCTGGCGCACCCCTCCAGCGAGACCGTTCGCCTCCGTGCTCATCCAGCAGCGCCCGCTTGCACCTCCAGCGCTCCGCGGGCAGCCGCCCCCACCCCCGCATCAGCGCGGCTGCACCCGCGACATCCTTACCCCATGGCGGCCGGCGGCGCCTTGCACCGGCGGTGCCGCGTCCCCGGGGCGCTCCTCGCCTCGCCGGCAGCTCCGCAGCCCCGTGGCGGCGGGGACGCTGCGCTGGGCTCGCCGCAGCTGCCGGGGGCCGAACGGGGCCGCCCGCACCCTACGGAGCGCCCCCCGCGGGCCGGGCTCCCATGGCCGCCGGCCCCGCCGGGCGCCCGCAGGCAGCGGCTCCGGCCCCCGGGCAGGCGGCAGCGGCGGCTTCGGGGGCGGACGGGTCCCCTCCTGCGGGCGGACGGGGAGGCGCTCGCCTTCTCTGCGAGGGGCTTGCGGGGGCTGCGGCGCTTCTGGCCGGGACGTGCGCGGCCGCCAAGGGCTCCGTGTGCCTCAGAGGCGGAGCGGGATGGGGCAGGCGGTGCACGCAAAGCTCCACGCCGCCGCTCCCCCTAGCACCGCCGCCAGCAGCGCGGCGGACACGGATGCATTCTCCGGAGGAGGCAGAGCGAGCCGTGGTACCGGCGCTGGCATTTGACTCCCGGCGTGAGGCCGCTACCGGCGGGCTGCGGCCGCGCGTCGCCCGCGGGCACCGGGGCGCCGCGCTTCCCGATCCACCCGCCTGCCCACCCCCGGCTGCGGAGATGCGGGGCGCCGCTCCTCCTTCTCACGACGGCGGGCCCGCTCCTCGCCGTCACGCCTTCTTCTGCGGCGGGCAGGAGAACATCGTCCTGGGCCGCGGCGGATCGGTCACTGACGGCGGGAGGGGCTGCCCCCGCCGAGCCCGCGCGGCTCTGCGGCGGGGCCGCGGGCTCAGCCCCGCCGGTGGGACGGAGGGAGGGAGGGAGGGAAGGAGGGAGCGACGCCGCGTCAGGCGGTGCCCGGCTGCTCCGGCGCCACCGGGCCGCTGCCTCTGCCCGCTCGCATCCCCCGCCTCCGCCTCACACCTCCGCCACCGCCCGCCCGTCCCCTCGCGGTGGGCAGGCGCAGCCGCCGCGTGCAGCCCGCTGCTCCGTCCCGCTCCTCCTTGCCGGGGTAAGGAAAGGGGAGGGCAGAGCCGAGCCGCGCCCTGCCCTACAGCCCCGCGGCGCACGCGGCCACCTCGCTGCTGCCCGCGGCGGCACCTGCCCGCTCTGCCTCCATCCTCCCCCCGGCCGGCTTTAAATAGAACACGTCACCGCGCGCCCCTACGCACCGACGTCACGGCCCGCTCCGGGCACTGACGTCACCGGGGTGCGGAGGATGATGTCAGAGCGGTCCGCGCGGCCGGAAGCGCTACTATAATAGGGCAGGGCGGCGGGGGGAGGGGGCGGTGCGCGAGCCGCCCCCTCCCGCCCTCGGGCCCTGCGGCGCCGTCTCCATGGCAACGCTGCGCTCGCCGGCCCGTCGGGGACAGCCCGTGCTGGGGGAACGGCCCCTGTCGCGGGGCCCGCTCCGGAGCGCGTCTGCGGCAACTCCCCAGCCCCCTGCCCTCGGCGAGCGAAGGGCAGAGCTCTCCACTTCGAAGGCGGCAAGTCCCCTGTCAAACACGCGTCCCTCTGTTCTGCGGACGCTTCGCACTCTACGGCGTTACCGGATAAACGGGAGAGAAACGCGGCAGCCATTCTAAAATTGTCCCCGCAAAAAATGTAGGTTACAGCACGTCCGTGCTGGTACTACCGCAAAGGAAGGGCCAGCACTGTGAGCGTGGTAGGAGTACAATATCTAGCTCAGTTCTTCAACGGTGCAATGCAAGCAGCATGTATTGCTGCTTCTGATCCATCAGAGTAGCCCAAGATCCATCACCACACACTACTTATATGTATATACACTTCATCTTAGGTTCTGCAAATACTTCTAGTAACTCTCTGAGATTCCCTGAATTTATAAACATTAGGTCTAACTGCTCCAAGACAATGCCGATGGCATTGGAGTACTCCACAAGGAACATGCTCTTTGCTCTTTGCTAGGGTGAATTTCAATATTTTCATGGTATTTTCCTATTTAAATGATGTAGCCACCAGAGGCACATTAAACTACAATGAGCATAGGAGGGAGATACCAATACAATACTAGGTGCCAATCCCCACATAAAAAGTGCAGAACACCCAAGTTTTACCAATGTACGTTATGGGATTGTAAAGCATGACAAAACCAACCACAGGATGTTCACAGCTGTTGCTTTAACAGAGAGTTGTTTGTCCTCTCATAAGACCTCTACTGGAACCACGTGTATCCCAGAAAGAGGCTGGAATGAAAGAGAAAGTATTAACAATCTGATCTCCCTAGAGTCAGATATTTCCAAAAGTTATTTTAATTTACACATGCACATATTTTGCAGACCCTTGTCTCAACATTCTGACCTATAAAAGTAATCAGCTATGGAAAGAGCAAGAATGACAAATTAGATAATGACAAGGGAAACCTTCTATAACCAAGAACAAGCATAGAAAACCCAGCATGAATCATTACTGCTCCTGGCAGTAGCAGCGAGGCATACTGCCTCACTGCAGAAAAGAACAGCTTCCTCAGTTTCCCATTTCTCATTTCTCACACAATACCTCATAAGCTAAAGTAAAGCCACTAAGCTAAAAAAACTTGGCAACAGTCTAAGTCTGTCATGGGCAATTCTTAGAACCTACCCGCACAGTTATGATGTGGCTGCATTATTTTTATGGACTGTCATTGTCATTTGCTGGTTGGGTTTCACTTGCTAGCTCTGAAACATATAAAGCTCTTTGTATTTTCCTTTGAAAATCAAACTACATGTACAGGCTTCTGTCAGTAAAACTAGTGCAGTCCCTGTGTTGGGGCAGGGGAGGAAAACAAAGATTCACAACAGTTCTTTCTTCCATATGATTAAAGTGAAAAAGACCATGATAAAAATTAATGAAGACTAATCAGGCATAAACAACACATAGCGCTTCATTCATTCATTGATGTCAAGTAGCTAGGAATCTATATTCATTAGCTTCTAAAAGTCCCAGATTATATTCTGCATGCAGTAATAGCAGGTCAACAGCAAAGAAACTAAGGCTTTAAATCCACATATGAGTAACTGTTGCATCAGTTTTGTTCTTTCAGCTCAAGCTCACACAGTAATGCAAATGCTTAAGTATTTCATTATGTTCACAGCATTTTGTTTAGATATCACAAAGATGGTTCCATCTGTCTCTGCCTTTCACCTTGTTCACATATTTGTCTTGCATGAAGTATGCTTTCCTACAGTATGTGTACTAAACCAGAAATTCCCAAGAATGAAGATAAAAGAAAAAAAATATAAAGGAAACCAAACACACACTGAACCCTGGGGTAAAGAATTGAGTGTTCACTTGAGAATCAGAGGTGTGAACAGAGTTACAGGCAAATCAAAATGTGGAATACCAGGAATGTCTTTACTGACTTATGAAATAAGTGCCCTATATATTTCATGCCCTTCTATAAGTAATAAAATATGAATAGGGGGATAGATATGATCCTGAGCAGGGGAACAGAGCTATAGGGACAAAGAAAGCATCACTCCAATTAAATGTCATTATTAATCTTTTTTTCTTCTTAATTCTTCCTTTAAACAGTGTTAGTTTATTACTACAGCTAAGTGTAGAAGGTCCACCTAATCGTTTATTTCCCTTCCATATTTACTGTTACAGTTCCTCTGTAACTGTCTGACAGCTTTCTCTAAGCTTTCAACTTTGTCTCAATTACACCCTTTTACAATTTTGATCAGTTTCCAGGTTGATTTGGTTGACTTAACATTAGTTATCTTGTGGAAAAAGACTCTGTTTATGCTTGCCAAGCTTACTGAAATCACTTATCCGTCTTGCCATTTCCCAGATTAACATATGATAAAAAACATGGTGATCTACGTCAGTTAAGGCAGATACAAAGAACATGCAGATACAAAGACAGCAACCCAGGTGATTAAATCATAGATCTTAACAGGGGAAACAATAGACAATCATCTCATCTTGAGGGCTGAAGTAATATAACATAGAGAATTTAACAGTGATGAGAAGAGGTTCAACTCTAAGTTAGTTGTTTTGGAGTTTCCCCCTGCTATTTTAGAACACTTCTGTGTCTTGAGCACTTTGATGGAGGTAGTCTTGAGTATGCTGCCTGATGGAAATATACGGTGGCTGTTACTTCACAAAAATACCAAATAATGCTACAATCAAATAAGAGATGGATGTCTTCAGGCATGGAAAAGCACAGGGTGGTACAGGAGAAAGACTGTCATTTACTGCTGTGAAGTAGCATATTCCTGGCATATACATTCACAGCCAGCTATTACAACTCAGTTCTGACACCCTTGCCCGGAACGGCCAACCAGCTGGGGCAGCACCTGTAAGCTTGGCAGCACTTACCAATACCTCTGAAAGGAGTGCTGTGTTGAAACTCCCAATGGGATACCTGTAGATGGGAAAAAAACCCCAGATGGCTGTGCTGTCTGAATCTCAAGCCTGCTGTGTATCAACATGGCCACTGGCCTGCTCAAAGTCCTGGAAGAGCAGAAGTACAGAGCTGAAAAATCGAGAAACACCGACAAGGTCTGCATTTTGCCTAACCTTCAGTGGTACCTGTTTTCTCCATGCAAAACCAGATCTCTACCACTTGATTGCACATTGGTTAGGAGGTACCATTCTCATGGAAAAGACAGGGGAATCCCATTTTGCTAGATTAGACACTGGAAAGATTTGAACTGCAATTTCTTGTTCAGCTCTAGTCAACACACTCAAAACAAAGGAATTCTAGCTGCACCAAAACCAGAAAGAAACTCTTAAGGATGTTAAAGGAACTTCTGAGCCATTATATGAGAGTAAAAATCCAAAAATTGGCTTGGTTGGTTTATCACACTAAAATCCAATATAACATACTACGATGCTCTCTAAATATTTTGGGTGAGGTTAATACAAGCAAGGGAGCAAAAAGAGCTAATTAACAAAATTAACAAGTATAAAGTCGCTATAAATATTTTTTCAGGTACTCCAAAGGTTGTTGCTCTTCAGGAAGCTCATATCTTCAAGAGTAGCCTTCCCAAACAAGGACTGGGTGCAAAAGAAGCCATCACAGATGGCAGTCATCACTGGCTCCATGTGGGAGGAGGCAGAGGCAACTGTGAGGACAGAGACATCTTTGCTCCGGCAGCTCACAGCCTGCAGGCACTACTTTCTCCAGGGCTCTGGACTCGGGTACTACTGCTGCTCTCTTACATCAGCTGCTGTTTGTTTAATACCAGATGAGTGTAAATTCCAAAATCCCTAAGGAAATCAAGGGTGTTTATTCCCTTTGAAGATAAGGGAGCCAGCACCTCACACTTGCCTCACTTCTCATCCATTGCTGCTATTTAGTGTCTCTTCCCTCCTCCTACTCCTTTATATCTTCTCTTTGCCCTCCTTTCTCCTGTCTAATCACAGATTTCCCTCCCCACACATATGATTCTTACAGTGAGTGGGATCACTTCTCCATCATTTCCCCTTGCAGGATCTGTGTTTAATTTATAAGGGAAGTAGAGAAAAAAGGGAAGAGAGTAAATGTCATCCTCTTCCCTGAGCCCAAGATTTTGTCTGCATTTTCATCACTCTAGAAAAATCTTCACTGTCATATCAGGTGGGCCTGGAGAGGTTCTGGAGCAATTTTACAACCACTATTTTTCCTCCTAGAATAGATGAAGAAACATAAGTGTTGCCCTATATTCAAGTAAATGCGGTACTCTCAAACTAAGACTAGATTTGATTCTGAAAGCAACCGTATGACATAATTCCCTGAGATGCCTTATAGTCCAATATTTCCAACTCTATCCTATTGCCAGTGAATGCTAATTTTCCAGCACCCACTTCCAACATTTCATTGTCTTGCCACTAGAAATATATTGCACATCTCCTACACAGCTCTGTGGCACTACACCCCTACTGGAATTTTTTTAAGATACTGATCCCCGAGTAATGCTTTCATTTCTTACTTGGGTTTATCAGTAGCTGTTATTTCTTCCAGTGCTTTTTCTGACCATACAGAAAACACAGTTTATGCCACTAAACAGATTATGTCAGCTTCTCATTTCTGTTTTATTTTGCCAAGTTTATCTAGATACATCACTCAGCTTTGTTTCCCAAAATCTTTGCAGATATTTTTGCAGCTTCAGCTGAAGATTATAAAAATATTGTAAAATCAAAATCAGTGTTTTTTTTACATATGAGTCTTGAAATGCAGCAATCATGCAGCGATCATGGCACTGTGGAATGAAACCTCCCCAACAGTATACTTTCTTGGCAAAACTGTACTTGCACACAATGAGTCTCCTTTTCTAGTGTGTCCTTTGTGGATCACATCTGAGAAACCACATACTGATAAAAGTTTTTTTTTAGTCATATTTACATTATAGACAATACAGTCTGTGTTTTCAGAAAGAGTAAGTCATAGCAATCACATGCCATTCTTCTTTTTGGCCACTCCTGTCAAACCAGACCAAGTTGCTTTCTAACAGAATTAACAAATTCCAAACATCACCCATGAATTCTATATCTGTTTTTCCTCTCTTTGAAATAATAATGTAATATTTTTATTTCTCAGGGTCTGAACACTTGTAGTATATGAAGTATTAATTCACTAGTGAATGTGAGATTGCCTTAGAATAATTAGTTTCTAGTTTTAGCAGTTCTTTCCTACTTGTTTTTTAAAAGTTCTTGTAGACCTTCCAATAATAGAGTCTGTGAATATTTGAAAACTTTGCTTAATTTTCTGCCTGAGTTTTCCTTTTTAGAGATAAGTTTTTCTGAGACTTTGAAAAAGTCATATTTGGAGAAAATTATTCTTTCTGTAAATCTTTACATGAAGAAAATCTAGAATTTCCAACTATTTTCACAGACTTTCCACGTGTTTGAACTTTAGCTGCTGCTGAGAATGAAGTCCAAGCATATGCAAAGTTTTTTCTTCCTGTGAGGAGATTTTGACCAAGCTCTAAGAAATACTAACATCTACATGGTGTGATGCAGAAAACTGAAATTTGGCCATAAACATGCTGAATATCTTTTTTCCCCTCACCTTTAATCTTCTTCCATTCTTCTGGGAGGTTGGTCCAGAGCTGGGGACTGTACTTCAGATGGGGTCTCATGAAAACAGAGTAGAGGGGCAGAAGCACCTCCCTCAACCTGGACTGCTTCTGGACACTCTTCTTCTGGTGCAGCTTAGAATGCCATTGATTTTGTGGGTTGCAAGTGCACACTGTCAAGTCATGTCTTCTCATCCACCAACACCCTCGAGTTCTCCTCAGGGCTGCTCTTGATCCATTCTCCAGATCCATCCCCAGCCTGAATTTGTGCTTGGGATTGTCCTGATGCCTGTACAGGACCTCACACTTGGCCTTATTGAACTTTATCAGGTTTGCACAGGCCCAGCTCTCAAGCCTGACAAGGTACTAGCTATTCTGAAGAGTGGAGTTACTCTGTTCTGCTGGTGGCCCATGTGGGACCATAGGATGCCACAGGGCGGGATTTATCTTTTATCATTCAGATCTTTTAAGGACATTCAGAGAGTGCACTAAAAGGTTGTAACATTAGCCTATCAAGGGTCAGAAATTCCACAACTGAGGTTGCATGAACAAATATTGTAATTTCCTTTCATTTTGATAAAGTAATTACATGACTGCAGATATTTTTTGCACAGAATTCCTACCTCATTCAACAAATAGGATGGATCTTCTTTGAAGATGATCTGCAGTGGAAGAAAATCTGCCTTGAAGAAGCCTCATTGCATCACTTGGAATGTATGCATTTCCTAGTGGAAACTTAGTTTTCACTCATCAGGAACAAAAGGCTTGTACTAAAGAAGGTTTTAATGTGGAAGAGTAAGAGAAATGAAACTAAATGAAAAGAAGAGAGGATGATTTTAAAGTAGCTGAATTCTGTCCTAGGGAACAATACTTATGCTTGCTACAATACTTACACAACTCTAGCTGAGGGATGAACTTGAAATTAGCATGAGTGCTTTCCATAGAATCATAGAATGGTTTGGTTTGGAAGAGACCTCAAAGATCATTTGGTTCCAACCCCCCTGACATGGGCAGGGATGCCATTCACTAGATCATGTTGCTCAAGGCCCCATCCAACCCAGCCTGGAACACTCCTAGGGATGGGGCATCCACCACTTCTCTGGACAACCTGTTTCTGTGCTTTACCACCCTCTGAGGAAAGAATTTTTTTCTAAGTAGAAAAAAATTCCATCTTCAAGGAAACCCAAGATTTTGAGAATACTAGCTGTTACAATTGTTAATAGGATTTCTGTTTCAACAGACTAAAGGACGTACTAAGTGAGCATAATTCACACACAAAAAATAGCTGAATTAAGATTACAGAAACAATCTCATTCCTGTCATCCCCCAGCCTTAAACACTTGGCTTTACATTTGAATTCTGTTACCATAGTTCAGCATAGTTTCTCCTATGTCTAAGATTCATGTAAATGGGTTAAGGTTTTTCTTCTTACAAGTCAGTAAAATACAGAAGTCAGACTAGTATCTTTTCTTTCTCCTCCATCTCTGTTCCCATTTTGTTCTGCGTTTTATTATTGCCTTTGTATTTTCATTGTACTTTTACTCTCTTGATCTTCCACACCTAAAGACCTTAACAAGCTCTGCAATAGCCCTGTGTCACTGCCCACTATCTTGCCCCACCAGCAGCCAGGACACCACCACCCTCATATTGCTTTCAAAGAGCCCAAAGAAAAATCCATTTCCTCTCTCCTTCTCAGCAGGACAAACACCTCTTCCTAACCTTTCAACTACTCTATCTCAGCTTCTGTTGGTCAGATGCATAGCCCATGGGCTGGGTGGTTCAGCTAACAGAACCTTTAGTAGTGTCCCCATCCAACCTCCCCTTCCTTTGGCCATGGCATCCTGGGAGGACGGGACAGGGCATTGCTGTTCAAAGACTGCACTCAAACTGTTGCACATTTAGAGAAGAGTAGATAGAATAGAATAGAGTGGAATGGAATAGTTAGATTCCTTTCAGTTGGAAGGGATCTACAAAATGATCTGCCAGTCCAGCTGCCTGACCACTTCAGGGCTGACCAAAAGTTTAGGAATGTTATTAAGGGCATTATCCAAACACCTCCTAAACACTAAAAGGCTTAAGGCAGCAACCACTTCTCTAGGAAGCCCTTTCCAGTGTTTGCCCACTCTCTCAGTAAAGAAATGTTTCCTCATCTCAAGTCTGAACCTCCCTGGCACATCTTTGAACCATTCCCATGTGTCCTGTCACTGGAACCCAAGGAGAAGACATAAGCACCTCCCTCTCCACTTCCCCTGCTCAGGAAGCTGTAGAGAGCAATAAGGTCACCCCTCAGCTTACTAGACAAGCCCAAACTCCTTAGTGGCTCCTCACAGGACATGCCTTCCAACCCTCTCACAAGCTCTGTTGCCCTTCTCTGGATGCATTCGAGGACCTTCACATCCTTCTTAAATTGCAGGACCCAGAACTGCACTCAGCACTTCAGATGAGGCTGCACCAATGCTGAATACAGTGGGATAATAACATCTCTTGATCAGCTGAGAGTGCTGTGTTTGATGCACCTCAGGATGCTGTTTACCCTCCTGGCTGCTAGGAGACACTGCAAACTCACAGAGAGCTGCTGTTGACCAGCATGCCCAGATCCCTTCCTGCAGGGGTGCTCTACAACCATTCCAAATGTATACTTGTGCCTGGCTTTACTACAGCCCAGGTGCAGAATCCAATATTTGGACCTGTTAAATTTCATTCCATTAAGGACAGCCTGATGCTCCAAGCTAGCTAGATCCCTCTGCAAGGCTCTTGTCCCTCAAGAGAGTCAGCAACATGTCCTAGTTTGGTGTCATCAGCAAACTTGCTCATGGTACATTCCAATCCTGCATCCAAATAATTGATAAATGTACTGAACTGGGTTGGTCCTAGAATTGAACATTGCTGAGGAACATCCTGGTGGCTGGTCACCAGCCAGATAGCCCTAAAGGCAGCAGCATGCCTTTTCCTGGGTTTGCATAGAGCCAGACATGTAGGCCCTTGTTTGTCTACTATGATCTCGGAAATGCTCAAAATCAGTGCAAACCATCAGGATGAACCAATTTTCCTAAGTATTTACCTTTCAGCCATGTATCTCACTGGGTGCTGCTTGACACTATATCTAGCCATGTAAATGTAGATGCTCCGTTACAAATTAACTTACTCAGAAATCTTGTCTGAAAGTTAATACAGACTGCAGCACCCTGAGAAATGCCATGGGGAAGATCCCCACCCATTCTCACCCTGAGTGCTATAGCAGTTAGCTCTTTAAATTCTGACAGAAGATTCACTTACTTCATAGAAACTGTGTAGATCTTAGGAAGCATTTTTGTGTAAATTTATGTCTTTGCCTTACAGTGAGCATCATGAAGAAGACAAATCATACTTTGAGAAATTAAATGAAAAAAAAAAAAAGAGAGCTGGAAGGCCGAATCTGATTTTCAGAACCAGCATATTAATTAACCACAGAATGTATATTATTGTAGTTGTCACAGAAGAGAATGTAAAACTTTTGACACACACTCTTAAGTGATTCAGTACAGTTTCCTCTCTGTCAAACCATTCCAGTTCTTGTGGTTCTACAGCTGAATAAACGTACCTAACAGCACTGCAGGCCCCACCACCACACACACTTCCTGAGACGAGGCAGCCTTGTGCCATTCCCTAAGCACTTCCCCACGCACCAGCTTCCCTGGCTGGCTCAGCTCTTCCCGGGTGGAGCTGGCTGTGACCTGCACAGGGCATCTCGGGCCTCTCCTCACATACAGAGGATATGCATATGCCATGCAGGCCCCCTCCACCCTGTTCCCCTATTAAAAATTATGCTGAAACACCAGAAAATTCAGCATTTTAAATGAAGTGGAAGCGAGGCTAAGAAGTTGCTGCTGCCAGCAGATGAGTAGTGAGATAGTGCCATAGGCAAACCTGTGGCTTGCTGCAACATGGCTGTTGGGTTCTCCTGGTTAGCCCACTGGCAGAGGCTCACAGGGACAGTCCCGTCAGCCCTCAGGAGCTGCAGTCAGATGCTGTATTGGGTTTGCATGGCCAGGTTTTGGTAGTGGGGAGGCTACAGGGGTGGCTTCTCTGCAAAGCCGCCAGAAGCTTCCCCCATATCTGACAGAGCCAATGCCAGCCAGCTCCAGGATGGACTCGCCACTGGACGGACCCGCAACTGTAATTGCGGCCACTGAAGAGCTGACTGAGAATATGTGAGAGCAACAACTATGCAGACAGCAAGGTCAGTGAAGAAGTGCTTCAGGTGCCAGAGCTGAGATTCCCCTGCAGCCTATGGTGAAGACAGCTGTTTCCCTGCAGCCCATGGAGGTCAATGGGAGTCAGAAATCTACGTGCAGCCTATGGAGGAGCTCCACGCAGGAGCAGATGGATGCCTCAAAAGAAGGCTGTGACCCTGTAGGAAGTCAGTGCTAGAGCAGGCTTCTGATGGGGATATGCAGACCCATGGATAGAGGAGCGCCCAGGTGGAGGTTGTTTTCTGGTAGGACTTGTGAATCTGTGGGGAGCCCATACTGGAGCAGCTTGTGGCTGAAGGACTGCGCTCCATGGTAAAGTTACCCACCCTAGAGTGGTTCGTGGAGAACTGTTGCCTGTGGGAGGGACTCACATTGTAGAAGTTTGTGGAGAACTGTCTCCCATGGGAGGGACTCCGTACTGGAGCAGGGGAAGGACTCTTCTCCCTGAGCATCAGCAGAAACAATGTGTGATGAACTGACCATTACCCTCATTCCGCATCTCCCTGAGCCACTGGGGGAGAAGAGGCAGAGCCTGGGAAGGTGGGAAGAGTAGGGGAAAGGTGTTTTAAGATTTAATTTACTTCTCATTATCCTGTTCTGATTTTGTTAGTAATAAATGCAATTAATATCTCCAAGCTGAGTCTATTTTGCCTGTTATGGTATTTCAGTGAGTGATCTCTCTCGGTCCTTGTCTCAACTCAACAATGAACCTTTGTTAAATATTCTCTCCCCTGTCTGGACAAGAAAGGGAGCGATAAAGTGACTCTGGTGGGTTCCTGGCATCCAACCAGGGTCAACCCACTACAGATACTTGCTTTCACATTTGTAGCCTTTATGCATAAGACACATTTGCAAAGCACAAATGCTTTATTTTCACGCTTTGCTGAAGAAGTGTACCATTATACTAGTTAAACTTCCATGAAGAACCATTTTCAGTTTCCCTCCTGTAGATTGCCTGTGTTTTCTAAGATTTTACTATTCACGTGATCATACTTTGCAATGTGATGGCCATACTGTACAATTCTAACTTAGAAAAAGTGTATTTTAATACCCTGGCCAATAAGTTAGCCATAATATTATTTTCTGGTTACACATCATACAGTCACCTCAATATAAGAGTGCAAGATACAGTGAGCTACAACTAACATCTGATATCTGATGTTTGCTGAGTAGCCATTAATATGTATTATAATATGTATTATAAATAGCACTCAATATAATTAGAATTCACATAATAAAAGAAGGACACCTATATAGAGTTGGATAAAGAAGAAGTAATTAAAACCATAGCATACAACCTACCTAAAGGTGTAGAGTTAAGGCTTCCATGGCAACCTTAACTCTGCATTTCCTGCCTTTAGTGATTTCAAGAGCTCAGTTTTACCGTACCTTTAATATGGTATTTTACACTGAATACTTTTACCAATAGAAAGATTATTTTGAAACCTGACATTTCTAGGACTCCTAACACTAACCCAATTTGCAAAGCAACATTATAAATTATTCAGAAGAAACTGTACTAATACATGGTGCACAACAAAGACTGAATTTGCCTCAAGCTGGTGTAATGTATTATGGATATGTGGCAGCCTCTTCATAGATAAGGTGCTGGCAGCTCCCCTTTGGACCTCTATTTCATTTCCTCTGTGACACTGGCTGAAGAACTATCTGACCTGAAAAACACCATATTAAAACTGAAGGTGAGAAGGAGCATGTCTGCAAATGTAAAACTGGAAAAATTATTTTATTTGAATTACAGCTAATATAAGAACATATAGCAAGTGCATCTGGAAGAATGCTCGTTGTGAATGCTGTGAAATACTGTGAATACTGTGAATTACTGCTGCATTAGACAGAACTGTTCCAATTTTGACCCTCTAACTTTTGACTGGACTTCTGTAGCTTACTTCAGCAAGTGTGTATGGGCACACAGATGTGTGTCCGTCTCTTGGCTACCTGCATTTTAAAATTAGTGTCACTTTTATAGCTTACTAGTAACATAAATGCTAGCAACTTGAAAGAGAGGGACCTAGGTACAGGTACATAGTACCAACTGTTTAAAGGCTGCTTTAATTAAATGGTTAGTAAAATAATGGCCAGTCTTCGCGAGCGAAGATTTGGGAAAGGTCATTAACCCTTCGAGCCTGCGCAGTGGATTTTTTAGGTGAGACACAGCATGCGCTGAACTGAGCCCACCCTTTAATCCTGAGGTTCATCTGCCGGGGCCAAGCAAGCTTGGACAGTGGCAGTGAGGGTCTCAGAACGTAGGTTTGTTTAGAGTGACCTTCTCTTAGATGAATTGCCTCACAGGGCTGACGAGCTCCATCTGCCCGGGGGGCTGGGAATCGAACCCAGGTCGCAGCGGTGAGAGTGCTGCACCCTAACCACTAGACCACCAGAGGCCCCGGTTAGTAAAAACTGTGTCTTTAATTATGTCTATTGTAAGGCTCCATAAAAAAGTCCTGAAGAAAACACATTTATACATACTGAAAAGTTTAAGGTAACCTTTAAACTTGTTAACAAAAATATTCTGCTTTCTGGAGCAAAAACTCTTAGACACTAGTACATTTTATTTCAAAGCTTTTACGGTGCAGGAAAATGTTCTTCATTCATCATTGTCTATTAGTATCTGATGGGTAGGTGTCAGGAGGATGGATCCAGGCTCTCCTTGGTGGTGCCAAGCAATAGGATAAGAGGCAGGGGGCAGAAACTGATGCACAGGAAGTTCCACCTGAATACAAGGAATAACACTGTGGGTGACCATGCACTAGAACACATTGCCCAGAGAGGTTGTGGAGTTTCCCTCACCGGAGATACTCAAGAACCGTCCAGACACATTCCTGTGCCATGTCCTTTAGGATGATCCTGCTTGAGCAGGGAGATTGGACCAGATGACCCGCTGTGGGGTGGAGATAAAAACCTGAAGGAGACAGTAAAGAAATATAATACAACAGAATTTATGCTGACCACCAACAGACAGCTCTTGCACCCTACTCAACCTTTGGCAGTGTACACAAGAAATATTAGGAAAACAGAATGCAGGTAGGCAGTTACGTTTTGTTTATTAGCTCACAGTAGGACCTCACCAATTTGTTCAAATCTCAATATGCTGGTTGGGAACTCATAAATCCTAAGTGCATGCTTAAAATAATGAATTTTAAATCAAGTATAAAATAGAGGTAATACGGTATTTACTAAATGCTTAATTTAAGAGAGAAAAATGTTTGTATCTGTCTGTCCCCCAGTTTGGGGATGTTACTATATGCACAAAGTTGATGAGTAGGAATTGCCTCCAAATACATTAACACTACATCAGTTTTTCTCAGCCACTGGACAACAGCAGAATATCTACTAGATCTGTTGTAACAACAATAAAATTCCTGCTTAAATACTAACCCTCAGAAACTGACATATCAGGCATACCCTTCAAAAACTTAACCTTCCTTTAAAAATGTTGTATAGAAAGGACTTTAATAACAAAATTTACAAAACTTAAGCACTGAATTAATAAAATTACTAGCCAATATACCTATTAATCTAACTACTGCAGAGCATTAACCATTTATCACAACGATTTAATTCTCATCAAATGCATACAGTATATTTTCTACGGTAATCTAAATGGTGCACTACAAACTACTCATCTGGAAAAGATACAGGGTTCATTCATATGTAGACATCCCAAATAAAGATAACTGTAAATACATATTTTGCATAAATCATTATAAAAGATACAATAAATCTGTATTTTACAATTTTAAGTTGGAATTCATAAATATACATGTTTGCAGTTATATAAAATTTTCATTTTAATGTTTATGACACTAATTACATTTCATAAATACTCTATTACATATATGTATATATAATACTGTGTATTACATATGTGTATATAAAAATTAGCATACTGTATGTAATAAATATATCAACTGATCTCTCACTTAAAAGGCATAGAGGAAAGCAAATAAAGGTATACATGAACATCACTAAATCTGGCTGAAGATTGAACATCAAAACTAGGATGCTGCACAATGGGGGGAAAATACTGCAGTTCTGTAATTAATTATTAATTTTTCATTCAGTATTTACTTGTTACACTTTTGAATCTTGCTTTTAATGCCTTTGTGCCTTTTTAACACTGTTTTTTAATGTACATCTAATTTATGTTCTTTGTATTATTATTAAAATCTTGTATTGTTTTCCTAGGGAAAGCTACTTTTTGCCTAGCACATAAAATTTGTTTTAGACCTAAGTCTCTGGTTTGGCTTCAGTCCCAGAATATCCTGACTTCTAAAGAAACTGCAAAGCATTTCATATGGGTATCGTGATTAAAAAGCTTCTGTCTTCACAGTGGATCCTCACTGTATTAATCCCTGTTATGTGCCACTTATTTCATTGGAGTTACATTTCTTATTTTAATATATGTGCTGTGTTTGGTCTCAGTACAATATAAATAAAAGGGATACTTAAAATGAAGCACTGTATTGACACACATTTCATTATTTCAGAACTGGCCGTGGAAACTAATAACATAAAAAATGATAGTATGTTACAGCTGGCTTTGAAACTGAAAAAGTGCTTCAAGTAAGTTGAATAATTCCCAGTAGAGAAAGGGTGAGTACACAAGCATAAGTTTTTTATCACTCTTAATGAGTGCAGTAGTATCAGGTGCTCTTTAATAAGGCTGTTTGCTATGGTTAAAGTATGTTCTAACCATACATGTCTCATTTCCTATAGTCTTTCTCTGGTACCAAGAGGCAAAGAAAAGAGTATTGTGGGGTTTTTTTTTAATATTAGATAAAGATTTCCATAGAGGAATTGGGTTTTATTCTTCATTTTTGAACTACTGAACCTTGAACTATTGAACATTGAGCTGCTTTGACCAAACTTTCCAGCACTGTTTACCTTCAGATAGTGACTACAGCTGGAGCACTTCAGCTCCAAAAGTTTCAGAAAATTGCAAAAAGCACCAAACAGGGACTTTAATGTTGCATAATTGTTTCCATTCTATGAGAGAGATTGCAAATGGTTTATCAGAGACCTCTTTGTCAATTACTTCTGGAAAACACTCTCCTATCTCTCAGAGCAAAATATAATTTATGGAGGCTGAATTCAGACTCTGCTTCTATTATAGATCATAAATTTCCTTCATTGATCATTCAGGTTATTTTTTGTTTTTCCAATAAATTAGTCTTACAAACTCCTCTTTTACCATAAATATACCATTTTTATTCTAAAACAAGACTCTTTTAAGGCAGAAACACAGGATCAGTTGTTAGACAACACCAGATAAGTTATTAATGGGTCAGAACCCATTTGTGGGGAGAATGTGTGTGTGTGTGTGTGTGTGCGTGTGTGCATGTGTGTGTGTGTGTGTGTGTGGAGGGGGAAGGGATGGTTTGAACCTCATGCAGGTAGGGTGGTGTTGTATCCCTCGTGGCAGCCCCTGCAGCCCACATGGAACAGCCCCAGAGTTGCTGCCAGTCACAAACAGCCTGGGAAAACTATAACACACCACATCTGCTGGAGCCCCTAACCCAGCCTCAGATTGGCAGGGACAGTGAGAACACTGTTTCTCACCCTGACCTGGAACCCCAGAGTGGCTGGAGAGGTTGGCCATAGAGATCAGAGCAAATAAAACCAAGGGTATGTGTTTGCCTCATATTGCAGCACTGCTGCTTGGACTTGTGAGAGCTGGTCTTCTACAAGGCTTCAGTGGTAGCTCTAAAATCTGTCTCTCCCTCTTTCTCCTTCTCTCTTCTTGATCCCTTTGTTTCTCTTTCTCTGCTCCTTTCTTGATACTTAGCGTGGTTTGCAGCTGGAGGGATTAGATCTTGATTTAAGTGTTGTGGATTAATAGTATATGTTGAATCAGTATTGTAGTGGAACATTTTGTCTAGCTTGTGTGGTGTCCTTTTGAACTTTGGACAAATCCCCTTATTTACTTCCCTAAATGAATAAAGCAATTCCTTGGAAACAAGCCAGTTGCTATCTCAAGGTATTAAAGAACCCTATATCTATATATTAAAGTAAAGCTCTTAGCCAATTCCATGAGTCAGCAACTCCTGGGGCAGGAGTTTTACACCAGTCCTAATGCTATTCTGTTTGGGGGAATCTGTTGGAATCACTGGTGCAAATTCTCAAATTCCTTGTTGTAAAGTTGTTCAGCTGAGTGTCTCTTGTCCAGCAGCCTGATTCCTGACTAAATCCAGAAGTACGGCTTTGTATGTCTTTTCTGACAGAAGAGGATCTGTAAACTGTCTGAGATCACAGTCAGGGTCAGGAAGTAAGACAGCAGATACTGAAAAATAGAACAGCTCTCAGCACATCAAAGCACAGAGATTTGTCTCATAAGACTGTTGGCAATTTGTAAAATGTCAGGTTATGTCAGGTGCCTCACTGAAATGTGTAGCTATGTTGACAAGTCAATGCAGGTAAGACACGGAAAAAAAAATCCTTAAGAGTGAACAGCCTGAACCAGAAAAAAAAAGTTATTTGGTAATATAGATTGATATAAACACAAAATACAAGGGTGCCTTTTGCCAAGGAGCAGGGCAGAAGGAGACCAGAAAAAAACATAGCAACACAAGTTACTTTAATTGGGTAAAGGCATTCCTAAATCTTCTTTTTTCTTTTTTTTCCTTTTTTTTCCCATTTTGCTGTATAAAAAAATGTTGATGCTTAATACACTGCTATAAACACTGCCTGCTACGAGGTATATTGACTGTGTTAGGTTATATTTACTGTAGGCCCCATGGCAAATGTGAGAATCCTAGGAGAGTGACATGTTATTGGTTAATGGATAGATTATGGTGAGAAGAGAGGTCAAATGGTCTGGAGAACACTGTTTGAACGGGCTACATGGAGAACTCCAGCTATAAGGAGTTGTATCACTGACTTCTAACTGTTAAGACATGAAGTTTCTGCCTTGAGCAGAAATTATTCCTTTGGTTCCAAACAAATAGTATAGAAAGAGAGCTGAGTTCCAGATTGTTGTGGTTTAACCCCAGCTGGCAACTAAGCACCACACAACCACTTGCTCACTTCCCCACCAGCAGGATCTGGGAAAGAATCAGAAGGGTAAAACCTAGAAAACATATGGGTTGAGATACAACAGTTTAATAGAGAAAGCAAAAGCTGTGCATGCAAGCAAAGCAAAACCAAGGAATTAATTTGCTGCTTCCCATGGGCAGGCAGGTATTCAGCCATCTCCAGGAGAGCAGGGCTCCATCGTGAGTAACCGTTATTCAGGAAGACAAACAGCATAACTCCAAATGCCCCTGGCTTCTTCCTTCTTCTCCCAACTTTATGTACTGAGCGTGGTGTCAAATGGTATGGAATATCCCTTTGGTCATTTTGGGTAACCTGTCCCAGCTGTGTCTCCTCGCAAACTCCCATGCACCCCCAGCCTCCTCACCAGCATGGCAGTACGGAAAGCAGAAAAGGCCTTGACTCTGCTGTAAGTGTTGCTCAGCAATAACAAAAACATCTCTATATTATCAACACTGTTTTCAGCATAAATCCAAAACACAGCCCCATACAAGCCGCTGTGAAGAAAATTAACTCTACCCCAGACAAAACCAGCACACAGATCAAAATCCAAGTTCTGCTTAACTGGGCACTGGTAGGATTCTCAGGAAATAAAAGATCTATTTTTCTACCTGTTCTCTGTTTAAGATATCTTGGGACTGAACTCCCCAAGGGACAACTCTTCTTTCATCCTAATGTGTCCCAATTCAAATCCTTATCACCTCCAACCCCAAATGACACCAGGGCGTTGTATCATTTATGAACCATATCCATTACCCCTATGTTAACTGTGGGCTGAGTTTAGCCAAAGACCCCAAACCACACCCAAGATGGAAAAGCTCTAAGGGGAGTTCTGTGTGATGCCCAAATCTGCCCTTAGAAGCCTTTTGCGGCCCCCCACAACAGAACCCTTCAGCTTTGTCTCTCTTCTAATCCTAACCCTGGCCAGGTAGCCTTTAAGGTAGAGCTTAAACACAGAAAACCCAAATTGTAGCACAGATGAAAAAGTTCCAGGAGAGAACTGATTTGGCAGCCCACACCTTCCCTTGACAGCCTGCCTGCAGCCTCGCTTCACCTAGATCTCTAGGCCTTGTCTCTCCTTGAACTTTAGTGCTAAAAGACCTTTAACACCAGACAAACTGAAATGTGGCTCAGATAAAAAGGCTCCCTGAGAATTCCTTCTGCAGCCCAGACCTTCTCTCAGCAGCCCCACTTCAGCTAAACCCTTAGGAACCGTCCCTTCCTTGCCCTAAAAGTGCCCAAGGCCTTAACCCTAGGCAAACCCAAACATGGCCCTGATTCAAGTTTTGAGAGTAATTCTTCTGCAGAACCGCCCCTAGGCAGTCCCTCTGCAGACCCACCACAACTAGACCCCCAGGAATTGTCTCTCTTCTAACTCTAAAATTGCCCAGAACACTTTCTGCAGTCCAAACTCTCCCTTAGAAGCTTCTCCACAGCGCCATGTCACCTAGATCTATATATTTTGTCTCTCTCTGAACCCTAAACTTAGCCTTAACCCTTGCCATGTGCTTTGGCTAGTAAATAGTCAAAATGACTGAATAAAAAATTCTCAAGAGAAATGTCTTTGTGGCTGAACTTTGTCTTGCAGCTTCATTCCATGTATGACCCTAAAATTTGTCTCTCATAAATGTAATGCTAACCATAGCCATGGGCTAACCCTTACACAAAGTTCCCATGCCACAGCCAAGGTGATTAAGTCCTCTTGCAGCCTAAGCCTTCCCTTCCCAGTTCATTTGTAGACCCATTTCATTGGGCCCCTGTGTTTTGTCTCTTTGTTATCTACTAGGTCTGTATGTGAGTAGCCAGTCTCAAAGTGTGACAACCCCAGCGGTTGCCTGCTGTCAGCTGAGCAAGCCTTCAAGCAAGAAACTCAAAACTGAGCAAGACCTCAACTTACTCCTTCCCTCTCAAAGGGGGGAGCTTCAACAGTGTGTGCATAGGTGTGCAGCAGCTCACTGTTTCAGTACCTGCTCATGGCAAGAGCCCACTTCCAGTAATTGTCCTGAAGAAGGAATCGTGATAAAAAGGACATTGTGGTGCTGGAGCATATCCAGAGAAGGGCAATAAGGCTTGTGAAAGGTCTGGAAAACGTATCTTATGGGGAATGGCTGAGGGAGCTCACTTTGTTCAGTCTCAAGAAGAGGATGCTTGGGGGGATCTCATCACTCTCTACAACCACCTGAAAGGAAGTTGTAGTGAGGTGGGGACAGGTCTCTGCCTGCAGTGAGAAGACAAGAGGAAATGGCCTTAAGCTGAGACAGAGGGGATTCAGAGCAGGTATTAGAAAATTTTTTTTCACTGTTAGGGTGGTCAGGCATTGGAATAGGTTGCCCAGGGAGGTCTTGCAGACACCATCCATGGACATGCTCAAGGAGTGACTGGTTCTGGTGCTGGATGATGGTTTAGTGGTTACAGAGACAGCGCTGGTCGGTGGCTGGATGAACTCTATTCCAGCCTTGATGATTCTGAGATTCTGCTTCTGTCTTCCGAACTTTTCACTCCTCAGGGTGCAGGCATTTCAGCCCGTTCGTGACCTCGGGTTTATCCTAGCACACCTACAATCCTAACTGATTTAGCCAAATACTATACTTTTAACACGCTCCTGAACGGCAGCTCAATTACAGTCGGCCAGCACCTGTAGAAAGCAAATCAGCTGCACGGACATGACTCTCACAGCCCCCGCTATGCCCGGCTGGCACTGTTACCACGCCTCCTGCCCCTCCCTGTCCCTGTCCCTGTCCCACCCCGCCCACCCCGCACATGCGCCCCGCTCTCCGCCCAACCAGGCCTCTAAGGGGCGTCTGCCCGTGGCGGTGCGGAAGTGGCGCGGGAGCCGGCGGAAGGGGCCCTTCCCTTCCTGCCGCATTCCGAGACCTTCCTGCCGCATTCCGGGCCTTTCCTGCCGCATTCCGGGCCTTTCCTGCCGCATCCTGAGTCCTTCCGCCGCATCCCGGGCGCTTCCTGTGGCGTCCCTACATCCGGCGGACAGAACGAGGCTCAGCTGCCAGAGCTGGTCTCCGCTGCCGGCCCTGCTCGGTGCTGCCCGCGGGCCCGCCCCGCGTGCCTCCACCCAGGCTTGGCGTGAGTATCCCGTGTGAATCCCGTGTGGATGTGACGGGGAGCGGTGCCGGGGGTCGGACCTGGGCCGCAGGCGTGGCAGTGGCACCAGACACCTGTCCTGGCGGTGTCACCAGGGGCTGTCGGGGATCCGTGGGCCGGGCTCCCTGCACGGGCTCTGCGAGAAGAACGCGCTGGTTTGGAAACGGTGCCCGCCGGGACAATGGTACCGGGACTGTAAGTTATGAAACTTTTTCTGGAGAGCCTGGTAGTTCCTGCCGATGTAATCTCTGCCGGAATGTACGGTAATTGTCGCTGTCGCTGCTGTGAGGCTGCGGTGTTGCTGCGTTGTTTTGGTGTGGGAAAGGTAACTCCTCCGCTGTTTCTCTTCCTGGTATTTATTGCTTCAAAGGCTAAATGGTGTTTCTTCTGCACCTCTTGGATTCTCATGAATGGTCCTATTACTAGCTAATTGTTTCCATAAACGGCTTTCGTATCCTGTGTGTGGTGTGAAGAGTGCCTGGTCTGCTCAGAGAGGAATGAGGCGTGTTAACAGTTGTTCTGTCTACGAGAAAAGAAAGAGTTTAGACAGCACATAAATAATCATTCATATTAAATGTAAATGTCAAGTGACTTTGTTGGCATGCAGTTCGGTTCGTTCATTTAGCAGAATTGAAAGTGAACATGCAAGTAATAACTTACATTAGTACATAATGCTTCCCCTCGTCCACCTCTCCAAAGAGGGGAAAAAAAAAGAAAGAGGAAGAACTGTGAGAGCATTAATCATGATACTTTTTTTTCATGGAGCTATTGCAGTGATGTCCATGTATGTATTACTGGGTTTTCACTAGTGTGGGTTGTCATCACATGAAGTAAGGAACAAAGTCAAACCTGAGCACATAAACTCCTTGTTACTCATTTTCCTACGCTCTGTGCTAATGCTGTCTGCAGTGACAGTCAAAGCTGTCCCAGGAGGTTAAACATGGCCAGTTTTGCCAGAATCAATTCTAAGTTTAAAAGGTAGTGAACCTATATTTTTTTATCACAGAGGCCATTCAGTAAAATATTACTATATGTATGATATTCTTAAAGCGTGAGGAGATTATTTGCAATTCCTGTCATAATTTGGCTGCTTTTTTATGTGTCATGTCATGAAAAAAGTATTAACTTATAGATTGTGATCTGCTGCATCTTCATCTTCTTATGGTGTAGTCAAGTATTTCTTCCCATATACTGTGGACCTTACTGTGGAATGTTTGAATATGAAACATATTACACTGTAATGCATTGCTTTTCCTTGAGATGAACATTCTTATACCTTGTGACATGTAATTTTTCAAAAATTAAATTTAAAACAGAGAGGAGCAAATAAAAATCCATTTTTAAACATAAATAAAGTAAGTAGTAATTGTGAAACTTTAGAGTGTACAGTATTTTTGTTTAGTTTCTTGTCCTGAAAGGCAATAAAAGCTAGCCTGCAATGACAATTCTCTGTAGCAATTCTTGGAAGTATAATCTAGATTACTTGAATTTTTAAACCAAGACTTTAAAAGGCAACTAGTATTTCTTTTTGCCTAATTTCAATACCATTATTTCTTTTTTTTTTCATGTAGGTAAAAGGATACATGTTCACTTCAAGTAGAAAGGAGGATGTTCCCAAATTCTTCCAACTTGGGTCGTCCACCCTTCCCTTCAAAGCATCAGCAACAGAGTAATTTCTTCAATGTACTTCCCATAAATATACCTCCTACTCTTCTTTCTCACCAGCAAACTGTTGTTCCTCCGTTGAATTTTCGCGCTGCAGTGTAAGTACAGTAAGGTGACGATTGGGTTTGAAAGAAGTATTTCTGTTTATGGCGGATGGTTTTCACTATTTTTAACATTAAACTGCATTGAACTTCAAAAATATGGAGGTGTCACCTGTAAAACAGAACTATATAATTTCTGTTGGTGACCTGCAAGTCTTAACACTCGCCTGCATTGTGCATAGTGCATGAAATGCGGTTGCACTGACTGTTAATCCACAGTTCAGTTTTAAAGGGCTTCAATTATATTTGTTTGTTGGGAAGAACAGGGAGAAGATGTGAAGGGGAAGAAACATCTCTTCTTGGGTCTATATTTGTAGACACTATAGTGTTCTTTTGACTTTTGAATTTAACAGTGCCTTAAGTTAATTTGTTTGCTAACCCCTTCTTACACATGTGCTGTCAAGAATGATAATTTTCTGGTTTTTAATAAAGTACATATCATATACTAAAATATGTTTTCGTTTTGAATAGAAAAGAAAGACTCATTGCTTCTAAGAGAAAAAATGACAGGACTTGTAGAGTTTAGTACTCATTTAACGAGAACTACCAATCCATAAAAATCATCTTATCTTAATAATAATAGTTATGGACTGTAGTCTTTCTAGAGCTCTTTTGAGTGGGAACCTTGCAGCTACTCCAGCTGTTACTTCAACTGCTACACTGCAACCAATGACTTATGGAAATGTCAGTCCAGTGTCTACATCAGGTGCCCTCACATCGTTTCAAGGAAGAAAGTAAGTTCTTTGTATGTTCTTCTATGACTAACACTGGTTGTAATGTTCCCATGGCGAAGCTCATCTAGTATCAATTACTTATGCAACTTGAGTTATGTTAAAAATTGCAATACTGAATACTTTTTTTAATGAAGCAGGTAATGTGTTAATGAAACAGCATTCATGTTTTTGAGAATCTTAGTACTCATAAGTGACTTCCTGTACCTAGGTTTTCTCTTCCAACAGCTCTAGGCTTGCAGACCTGTGATTTAGGTGATTTTTTTTAATGCTACAATAAATTGTAGTCCGTATGTAATTGACTATTAAGCAGGTGTGTGTCAACAAATGTTCTTTTCCTGTTAAAGAGTGCACCCTCAAGATTTTATGTCTTGTTTTTCATGACACATTACATGTTTTTCCTGATTTTCTTATTTATGTGATGCTTTATTTTTCAAATACAAAGTGTTAAATTCAAACATACATACAGGTTCAGGTATAGTAGTTGATATGTGTTTGTAATAATTCTGTGAATCAGCTGAGGGGGAAGAAAGTTTATATAACCTGTCTTCAGAACTATTTCCTGTATGCTCTTTCTCTTTCAGATCTAACAGATGAAAAAATAAGTACAATATGTTATTAAGTTATAGCTGAATATGTAACTATAATTATCCCATGAACTAAGGAAGTTCCTCATTTCATGCTGCATGCATCTTTTCCTCTTGAGCAGTCTGTTTTATAGAAGGCTGTGCCATGTTGGGAGATTTGCAATCAACTTAACCAAACCTGCCATTTGGGTTTAAGTTGGCTAGTGCTGATACTTGCCTTTAAGCTGCATCAATTCACTTCCAGGGTAACTGCACTTCGGCAGTTGCGTGGTCTCTTTATCCATTCCAGATTTGTTTCACATAATATCTAGGATGAGCACACATGTTCTATAGAATACTTGCTTTTAGTGAAGTAGATACGTCATTGAATGTTGGTATCTGAACTTTGTAGAAACTGTCTTTTAATCATAGGGTTAAGCTGCGAACTATAGGAATTACACTCTCTCTCTCTCTCTCTCTCTCTCTCTCTCTCTCTCTCTCTCT